GTATTAGTTAGTTAGTATTATGTTAGTATTAGTGCTTTATGACCTGTTATTCCAAATAGGTTGAAGACTTTACAGCTAAACTCACCTTGATTTGCTTTTTTGGCAGCAATCTGGTTGACAATAAACAACGTCATAAGGTCAGTGCCAATTGAAGCTGTGCCTCCTGGGGAGGTCCCTGGCACAGAGACTCCCAGGTTTTTCAGTTTTTGTTGCATTTTTCTCTTTTCAAAAAATTCCTACAATGGAAAAGGCAAAGGCAAAATGTGGAAATATGTCATATTTATTCAAATCCATCATCGTTTTTACTCCACTGGCTCACCCTCTGCTTCTTCGTGTCATTCCTCATCACTAAACGTTTCCTGTAACAGTCGCATTGTTAGCTAGAATAAAGTCAGTTGGTCATTTTTTTTTAAAAGTAAACAAATAACTTACCTTGAACCCCCAACCCAGTTCATTTTAAATATAAGAAATAACCGAATAGTTTAATGACAGAAATGGGAATACTCGCTAAATTTATGCTGTTGTGAAATATGAGCTACTAACTGTTGCTAACGGTTTGTACAGGTGCGCGAGGGCTAGCTAGTAACTGATTTAAACATGTCACGCGCCACTTTATATTGCTTTAAAACGTTTTTTTTTTTACTTTTCGGTTAAATGTTCTAGAAATAACGTTTCCTTTTTTACGTCTATTTGTTATTTTAATAGTTGCGATATAGTTGGAAGAATGTGACTTTTAAAGGAGGAATTTAAATTTATTTTCGTCAATATTGCGAATGTTTTTTTTTATTTTATTTTTTTATATAAGGGGTGCGACCAATGAGAAAAGCCACTGTAATTCATTGGTTGCGTCAAAATACAGGTCAAACAATTAATAGAAAAAGGAAGTTCGTTTTATAAAATAAAACCAGGGTTAACGGTTCCTCGCGCTCTGACACGGAAGTCCTGCGGGAATTGGCGGGCTTCCGTTTACTTTGGCAACGGCAACCGGAAGTGAGCGTCACGCTACCGTGCGTGACTTGACAGTGACGCAAAAAAGAGCAGAATGTAGCGGTACAAGCAGCCGGCTCGCCTCAAATCTCTCTTTTAAAGCCACCACGGGCCCCCCTTTCGTCCGTTTATGTCGACGGGGTGAGTGTGAGTCGCTTCCGGGGGATGGGTGTTGCTTGGTCCGTCGGTTGAAACGACTAACGGTTAAAAAAAAAAAAAAAAATGTCCAACATCCTGGATGCGGCGTCCAAAGTGAAATGGGACCGCACATCTGCGGCCAAACGAGCCGTGTTCCTGGCGGCCGCCGCTTACGGTGTCCGGACCCTGTACCCCATCATCTGGAGGCAGCTCTGCCGGGGCCCCCGGCCCCCTTCCCGGCCGGAGAACGGATCCACTTGCCCCGGCAGGACCCCGGAGGACGCCCCGGGGGAGAGGAGGGCATCCCCGGGTTTGGACGCCGTTTTCTTCCAGCAGATCCTCGAACTGGGTAGGATCCTGTTTCCCAAACTGGTGTCTAAAGAGCTGTGTTTACTCTGCCTGCACTCCGTGGCCCTGGTCTCCCGGACGTTTCTCTCCATCTACGTGGCCAGCCTGGACGGGAAGATAGTGAAAACCATCGTGGAGAAGAAGCCCCAGAGCTTCATCCTCCAACTGGTCAAGTGGCTCCTCATCGCCATCCCCGCCACCTTCGTCAACAGCGCCATCCGGTTCCTGGAGTGCAAATTGGCCCTGGCCTTCCGCACCCGCCTGGTGGACCATGCCTACCGCACCTACTTCACCGACCAGACCTACTACCGCGTCAGCAACATGGACGGGCGCCTGGCCAACCCGGACCAGTCCCTGACGGAGGACGTGATGATGTTCTCGCAGTCCGTGGCCCATTTGTACTCCAACCTGACCAAGCCCATCCTGGACGTGGTGCTGACCTCCTACACCCTGATCCAGACCGCCCGGGCCCGGGGCGCCAACGCCAGCGGGCCCACGCTGCTGGCCGGCCTGGTGGTGTTCGCCACCGCCAAGGTCTGTCTGTCTGTCTGTCTATCTATCTATCTATCTATCTATCTATCTATCTATCTATCTATCTATCTAATACCAATCTTTCGCCACCGCCAAGATCTATCTATCTATCTATCTATCTATCTATCTATCTATCTATCTATC